CTCCCCGCTCCGTTTGGAATCATGCCGGGAAAGTAGGAAAATACACCCCAAAATACCCTTTAATACCCCCCCGTGTCCCCTCTTGGCCGAGGAGGGGATGGATGAACTCGCAGGGGTCATGGTGCTGGCGGCAGGGGTCGGCACATGTGCTGTAAAAGCATTAAAAAAGGCTTTAAAAGCGGCCCTGGGGAGCAGGGGTGATTCCTCGAGCTAATCCTGCTCCCTCCAGGGCTTTGCACCTCTCCACGTTGGTACCTGCAGGTCAGAGGCAGGTGGGAGGTCACAGGCGGCTTCCTTAGCATGGCTTGATTCCCTAGGAAGAGGTAAAAATACATTAATAATAATACCCTCAGAAAAAGTTTGGGTGCTGCTGTTCCTCGTCCTTGCTTTGCTCAGGGGCAGGTGTCGGCACCCCGGCCGTTTTGGGGTAACCCACACACTGGGGACAGCCCCAGGCAGCGAGGGGCAAAGCAAAAAGCCATGCAGGGGCATGCTCGAAAAGCTGCTGTTCTCAGCAGCATCTGGCCAGCCAGGAGGCTTCCGAGTCACTCAACCAGAGTAGGAAGGAGCGCGGGGAAGCACCACGGTTCTTCTCTATCTGTACAACTAGCCCTGGTTGTGAGCCCTTCTCAGAGCCACAAAAACATTGCTCTGTAGTTAATCACCCACCTTGCTCCTTTCTGCAAGGGCTTAGCTCCCTAGGAAGGCAGCTAAATAAGCTTTAGGGCAATAAACAAATGGTCTCCTTCTGTGATTCAGACGCTGAGCACTGCAGATCCTTTCCAACAGCGAGGCGGGCTCGGTTCGCAGCGTGTCCGTCGGAGCCTCGCGGCGCTGTCTCAGGAATAGCTCCAGTTTTTGGCCCATATATCTGAGCTGTGTTTGTGGTCCTTTATTTGTGGCTCACTGGACAGCTGTTGAGAGGGATTTCACAAACTATTTTGGGAGGGTAGTAAGGAGTGTGTTATATGTGGGGGTCCTTACACCAAGCACGTTTAGCATCCTGGTGCCAGATATAAGAATAGCAAGGAAACAACTGCTCCTTTCTCACTGCCTTGGTTCTCTGCAGCAGCTTTAGGTAATTACTTGCTAAGTTACTGAAGGCTTTTCCCACCATTACCTTTTTCTTTGGATATTTGCATAACAGAATCTGTATGATTGGACAGCGGTGTGTGGTTTCACATTTAAATAACTTTGACTTTTTAAAGCATAACCAAAACACAGGACATCTAAAAATTCATGTGAGTGAGCCCTAAAGCCTTGCTGAGTTGCATCAGTGGGACTTGGAGTGAACATAAGGGATCAGCCAGCTGAGTCAACTTGCAAAACTGAGGTCCTAGTCTGCCACTTCATGGCATGGTTTTCTTGTTTTTACCTAAAGGCCTGTGTCATAGAACCACAAGCTATATATATTTTTTTTTTCTGAAATAGATGGAAAACTTATATTTGAGTTTTTTCCATGAAAAAAGATGTTTTTTAGAATTTGGAACCAGAACTTGAGTATTTTTGCCTACTCTTTTATTAACATTAAGATTCTAGCCATACATCAGGCTTAACTATCAAAATTCAGTTTAGTCTTCACTATAGAGCAACCACTGTCATTCTGTATTAACCAACCCTTAAGATGTTTCCCTACCCATTAGAAAACAGCAACCATAAAGATGTGGTTTCAGCCGAAGTACCAGAGGTAACAGCTTCTTGAAAATCTCTCTAATCTTTCCATGTGAGCTGAAGTGCAAGAAGTACGGAGTTTCCTCTTTTTTATTATTTTTCTTTTATTATTTTTGTCGCTGAATGTGGTTGCCACCTATGGGAATCACTCCAGCAATCTGTTCTTCCGGGCAGCCTCCTTGTTTTCTAAGTTTCTCCAGGCTCTGTTTCTCCTGCTATCTCAGAGCTTTCCCAGGCAAGCAGGGCAGTTCTTTGAAAAGAGGCACCGTAGAGCAACTTCCTGAATTAAATAGTGTTAACATAAATGTGCTGTTTGCAACAGGAGAGCACCATGCATGCACCAAACAGCATAAATCTTGGATTTCTTGTACATGTTCCTCGAAGATGATGGGATGACTTCTTTTTGAAACTCCACTTGAAATGTTTTGTCTGCACTGTGACAGGTGCAGTAAACTGTCTTGATTTCAGGTTGCAACTGCTGTCAACATTATTTATTTGTTTACTTTAGGTCTTTTAATACTTAAGTGTATTTTATATCAGCATGATGGTTAGTACTGCCTAAGGCCAACAGGATCATGGCAAGGGCTTTTCTGTACATATCAGTTATAACCAAGGTGTGAGAAATTCAGCTTCAGAATGGGAAGTGTAGAGGGGCACTTGTGCCTGCTGATGCAGGTACATTTTTTATGTGTAACCCATTGCATCCAGTGGATACAAATCTGAATTCTTTCTTCTCAGTGGACTGTTTTATGTGCTAATTGTTATAAAAACCACAGTAAGTTTGAAGCTATGCATCTGTCTATGACAAAAATCACACCCCGTATCTGGGAGGGGGAGAAGAGAAGAAACAGAGGAGCTGTTAAGATTAATTACTGAAATACAGCTACAATTAAGCATGAGTATTCCGGAAGTCCTCCAGCAAAGTAATCACCACGATTCTCATTAGTGCTGTGTTGTATGTTCAAATCCAGGCCAGCTTCGTGAGTTTAAATTCAGCTTGGAGACTTCTTTTCTCCTTGGGAGTTTACTGCAGCCTGTCACATGCATAAATTCTCAGAGTGTGTTTTGTCAGCATTCCTGGATTGCTTCACTTTATGTGTTTGCAGATGGCAAAAGCCAAAGACAATATAATTTTGATATCTAGGCCTGTTTTATTTCTGTATGTTGCTGTTTATGATTAGGAGCAGGGGACTTTTTGTGGCATGGTGTTTTACTGTAGCCAGTAGATACGGTAATGGATTCGTCTGTTTCTATCCTCAGGTCCTTCAGCATTAATCAGTTTCTGTAGATTAGGAAGTGCTTCTTCCTGGTTACTTCTCTCTAATTATGAACATGCCAGGTGCCAGGAAATAAGCCAGGTGACCATAGGAAATCTAAAGTTAATGTGGTAAGACTGAGGATAAGGAAGTATTTAATGGATCATTTGAAATACTAAATTCTCTGCTTCATTTCTCTGATTCTCTCAGTTTACCTTTTAGGGGACTATTCATGATAGTTCATCCAAAGTCACACTTGTTTCTTGCTAAATTTAAAGGCTGAAGATATATATAGAAAAATTATTACATGATGCACTGCAATTAAAACTAGAGCTATATAAGGAAATGGAAACGTTTGCTTCAGAGAAACCTGCTGAAGAGGTTTGTAGGAGCTGTTTGACATAGCTGCTGAAGTGTGTGGTGAGTTGTAATTTCTGCAGGCTTCCACAAATATTTTTATCTTCCCTCCTCGATAAGAACATAATTTAGTCCCAAAGACTTGACGCATCATTCCACTTTTCTCTAATGTGATGGCCAAGATTTGGGTAATTGTGTTTAGTCAGACTCCCAGCCTATTAATCCAGCTTCCAAAACAAGAATTTCCAAATTCCCAGAGCTCTCCTCACGTGACTGCTGAGCTCTGTTTCTTGGCCAAGTTATTTTGGCTGTAGCCGAAGGTCAGGGGTGCCCTAGGTGCCCGTGGCCCCGGTAAACATAGAATCATAGAATAGAATCATAGAATGCTCAAGGTTGGAAGGGACCTCTCGAGGTCATCTAGTCCAACCCCCTGTACACGCAGGGTCACCTAGAGCACGTGGCACAGGACTGCGTCCAAGCGGGTTTGGAAGATCTCTAGAGAAGGAGACTCCACAACCTCTCTGGGCAGCCTGTTCCAGGGCTCTGGCACCCTCACTGTCAAGAAATTTTTCCTTAAGTTCCTGTGGAACTTTTGGTGCTTCAGTTTGTGGCCATTTCCTCTAGTTCTGTCAGTCGCCACCAGTGAAAAGCGGCCGGCCCCATCCTCCTCACTGCCTCCCTTGAGGTACTTCTAGACACTGCTCAGATCCCCTCTCAGCCTTCTCTTCTCCAGGCTGAACAGGCCCAGCTCCCTCAGCCTCTCCTCACAGGGCAGATGTTCCAGGCCCCTGATCATCCTTGTAGCCCTGCGCTGGACTCTCTCCAGCAGCTCCACATCCCTCTTGTCCTGTGGAGCCCAGAACTGGACACAATACTCCAGATGTGACCTCACCAGGGCTGAGTAGAGGGGCATGAACCTGGTGGAGCACATTTGTGTCATTTCCACAGTGACTGGCAGAGCGAGGACATGCGGGGAGGACCAACGCGTTGGCTCGAGCAGGACTCTCCTTGCGCCATGTTCCTCCACCTCACACGTTGCCCCCAGCGCCCGCACAGCCCCTGCGCGGCTGACACGTTACCTCCTAGAAGGAGAGCAGATACTCAGGGTTGACTAAGAAGGCACCAGCCGGGAGTTTTGCTGTCATTTTAATGCTGTTGTCATCTTGGAAGGGCGATGACACAACTTATCAACCTGATGTTCGTCTCCCTGCTTTTAGAGTTTTGAGTTTTACCTGTAAGCGAGCCCAGAGAGCTGAGCAGGGAGGGAGGCCCCGGGTGCCGTCCTGTCAAGGCTTTCTGTATAGCTCTTTCCAAATAAAAGCTTAAATGTCTGCAAAACAAAAGACTTGGTTGCATGTGAAATGTTAGGCCTCTGCTAAGATGCAAACACCATGAAATATTGGTATTTCTAGGCTATAAACTTTTAGAAATAGCAAGTAGTTATGGGTAATGCTGACAAATTTTGATAATACAACAAGCTGTTTTTTCCTCAGCTTAGATGTTTTGTTGCTATTCAGGTGAGAGAGAGACGCTCTAGAATTCTGCAAGGGTTTTATACATCTAACTACTACTTCCAAAGCTCAGAACAACTTTTTTGAGACTTACAGAATCCCACAAACCCCTTAATTTTTTAATCATTTTAAATGACTTAACAGTGCAGTATTGTGCAAAATAATCAATGCAAACATTTAATCTCTTCCAGGTTTTCAGACAAGAAAGAAAGGCTGATGCATCTTAAAACCAAACAGAGAGAATTCCAAAAACAGTAAGTTGGATCAATAAATGAAAATAAACAATAAGAATTCTTTCAAAAAATATTCTAATGCACTGTTGTTGCACATACATGTAATCCAGGTAGTCAGATAACTTTCAGTTATGTTTCTTCCTCTAGCGTTTTGAAGGCCATGGAAGGGAAAGAGATAACTGTTAAACTGGTGAGTTATTCAAAGCTCTGCAACGTTTTAAGAGTCTCTGAATTCCTCGACCTCATAGATTAAATTTACATTTTACCTTTGGGGCATTGTATTGCTTTACCAAAAAACACATTGTAAGCAAAACTGAAATTGGATTCTACAAGCAGAGTGCTCCAAATCACCAATATGTTCCATTTATTAGATATTTTTTTCAATAACTTTTTATTTTAAACTGACTTTGTAGTAAGCATTCAGTTTATTTGTGGCATTCATCCATGCACAGAGCATTATATGAACTATTTATATATTTATTGCCCTGATCCAATTAAAAACAACTTGCTACTTTTGCACTGTAGCTGCTGGCTTTGCTGTTAATCATTAGTCAGTATGTTTGAAATCATTTGTACCCTAGAAGTGCTGAACATTCTTTTTCAGAGATGGAAAATAATGTCTTGCAAGATGAGGATTGAGCAGTTGAAACAGACCATTTGCAAAGAAAATGATGAAATGACAAGACGTGAGTAATGCCTGTGCTTTTGTGATACGTAAAACCTCTGTGCCTTGAAGAGTGAAATATCTATTGAATTTGAATGTTAGTTTAAAAAATGGTGAATTTCCAAACTCTCATTTCTTGAAAAAGTTTGCAGGCAAATCAGTGAGAGATTTTAGTCATTTATGCTTGGGTTCTAATTAACGAGCAATATACATATTATTCAGCTGAAGAAAGATGTTTTGCAACAGTTTAAAAAGTAAGCGCTTAGCAGCCTATGACTTCAGCTTCATTTCTGCAGTTGGTTTTCTTCAGTGTGGCATTTCTGAACACGTCCTTTTGATGAAGAGGAGTAACAGCTCTGCAACTAGTATGAATTTCATGTAACTGACTCGTTTTAACCCATACCTTTTTAGAAATCCTAAAACCCTACCTCAGCAAGACCGTCACTGAAACACGGCGCAGGCTGGTGAGCTGCTATCACTCAGCAGCTTCAGTTTGAAACTTATTAAATATTTTACACACAGGAGAGATTTATAGTATCATCTTTCAGGAGAGAATATGCAGCGCTCCTTACAAGCTGCACAAAGGGAAGGTAGGGAGTGTGTTAAGGCTCATATTGCCTGAATTGGGAGCATTTTAATGACTTGAATTTCAGGAGGATTTGATTTTTTTTCTTTTTCATACAGAAAGTGGAAGCACAGGCACATAACTGAGATTGTTTGTAAAGGAATAGCACAGGCTTGCAGCTATAACATCAGAAAGCTTGAGGTTCAAAGTAACTTTCGGTTAGTGAGGAGCATGGATAGTAACAACAAGAAATACACAATAAGAGCAAGGTGAGGGAGTGGATGAGCCTGCTAGTAAACAGAAAAGACAACAAATAACAGTTAATATGGAAAAGTCTGAAAATAGTGCCTTCTTTGCTTCATCTTTGCCTAAAGAAAATGTTATCAGGTGTTTAACCAGATTAAATTTTACATGATGAAAGGACTACAGGCCAAGGAAAGAAAACAGCCAGTTAAGTATTATTTTGATTATGTCAGCAGGTCCTTATAAGATTAACCTTAGAGTGCTTAATTTTTTTGCTGCCCCAGGAAACAGGGTGAAAACAGCATCTCTTTTCAAGGCCTGAAAGGAGAACCTTGAACTGATGGCTCAGTCATCCTAATATAAAGCTCCAATCACCCTGCAGACACCTAGAAGTTAACATAGTTAAAAATAAATATTGGTGTCTGTTAATAGATCTTGTCACAATAATGCCCTTCTCTAGGGGTAAAGTGGTCTATTAAAGGAGGAAGCAGAAAGTGCAATATATGTTGTATTGGGACTCCCCAAAGCTGCCTCACAGTTAAGCAAAGAAATAGGCTGTGGGTGTAAACACTGCAAGGCTGACACGCATCTAGAGGGGCTGCATTCAAAGGGTGCTGATGCTTGTCAACCTGAAGAGGTGAGACAGGTGGAGCTCAGCAGGGGCTTCTCCTTGGCCCAACTTTGTTCAGGATTTTCCATAATAGCAGAATCAAGCTCAGAATCACGCAGATAAATTGATAGAATGGTCTGTAAACAACCAAGTTTGAGTGCAGCTTGTTTAGGAAAGAGAAACATATATAAACACAAAGTGAAGAAAGCTGGTAAGACTTGAAAGGAAGGGGTAAGTGAAGTCACGAATGAAATATGAATTATCAATCTAACACAGGGATTCAGATCTCCTTCTGAGTTGTGCTAAGACAAGCATTGCATCTAATATAGAAGCACTCGTCCTGCCGTGCCTGGCATTGGAGGTGCTTCAGTGGGAGTCTGTAGCCCAGTGTGAGTGATTTAAGACAGATGCAAGTCAACTGGAGAAAGAAAATATTACGAGTACTTTTCGGAGGAAAATGCTAGGAATAAAAAGCAGGAATTGGTTAAGAAAATTGATGTTTGGTTGTTTTAGAAAAGAGGAGGCTGAGGAAAAGCACCTTTTCAGTAGGTAAAAGATTATTATGAAGGGGTTACTCACTGAGTCCTCTCTTTAGCCAGTGAAGAAAGGACAAGAGGAAATTAGTGTGACTTTGAAGAATTTAGTCACCTTTTCCCAAAATCCATCTCTGACAGAGAATCACCCTTGGATCCTGTTCTTCAGATATATCCTTTATATTTTGTGCTCTCATTTTGTGAAATCCAACTGGCTGAATATGTTGGTTAGGGCAGCTGTGATTCCTTAGATGTTTTCTTGATTGTCTCTTTAATGGTGTAAAATGTAGCTTCTTTCAGGAGCAGATGCCACGGAGCATCCTAGCAGCTGCTCTGGTCTCACATGTGCCTTGCAATCAAAATTTGTCAGTAAAACAATGTCAGGGCCTAGTTCTTCCTGATTGCAGGAAAGGAAGTAGTCTGTTGTGGTGAAATGGATCCTGACTGACACAATTTCTGTTCCATCATAAAACCTGAAACAAGATGACTAGTTGATCAGGACTGTCATTCAACCTAGAGCATGTAAAGATTTCTAGACATGTTTTTAGAGTGAATAAGAATTATTTTTGTACGCTTTTGAAAGAGAGATGTTTAACCCGCTCCATCCAGTACCCCATGCTTGCAGAAGCTTTGCTGCAGTGACTTATTAATAGGCAAATCAGCAGGTGCTCTTGAAGGGTGTTTTTTTTTTCGTGTGGCTCATGCATGGAGTCAATTCGGGCAGCTGCTGTCAGCAGAGGATTTTCAGTGCAGGAATGTGCTTGTCATTTTGTGCTTGAGGAGGGAGGTGGTCAGTGCTCCCCTGTATTGTTGGGATCCAGGTGCTTTCAGGGCACATACATGACTGCAAAGCCCAAGTGACAGACACTAGAAAAGTCAGTGATGCCAGGAATTGTGAATTGAGATGCTGCCTGCATTGATTTTGGCTGCAAGCGGTGCTTTTTGGTCAAGACCATGCAGGCAGGTACATTCAAGCCATTTCAGTTACGATGGTTATCCCTGAAGCTTAATTAAACTATGAAATCTTGGCTTTTCTGCTTCAAATCCAAAAGCAGCTGCATAGAAATATGGAAAAACTAATCCCAATTTCAATCTCTTTGTAGATCTTCCAAAAGATTGTATCATTTAGCAGTTGGAAACTCTTAATAGTGAAGCAAGGTCTTTTTTTAAGCTGTTATACATCGTTTTCTGTAATTGTTAATAAAGCTTTTCTCAAGCTTGATGCAAGTATATCACAGCTCCTTTCTCCAGGCTAACATCTGCTGCTGTTTTCACAGACACAGAGGGGCTCCTGAGAATTAAAGAGGAGAACCAGAAGCATTATCGCAGGGCTCAGCGGCACCAGGAGAAGAAAGAGAAGATCCAGAGGCATAACCGCAGGCTGGGAGACCTGGTGGAGAAAAAAACCTATGACTTGAAAACCCAGCACGAGCATCTGGCAAATCTTCGCCGGACACACATCCTGGAGCTAACATCAGTCATATTTCCCATTGAAGAAGTAAAGACAAGCATGAGGTATGAAGGCTTGTCAGTTTGGTCTCATGTTGCTTAGGTTTAGACACCCAGAAGTGAACCATGTAAGTCTAAGCTAGGTACTCTGGCTCCCTTGGCATGTATGGAGAGAAGGAGGTATTTTCCTAAAGCATCCTTTGGAAAGACAGAGCTCTGGAATAGGAGGATCTGGAGGGACTAGTATCTCCCCACTGGGCAATCTGAGCCGTGTGTCCAACATTAACCTCTCCTAAAATACATAACTCATCCCAAAACTAAGAAAAATAACAGCAAATTTCTCAGGAGTGTTTGTACAAATATTTTCTTCTCTGTGAAGTCCAGTCCAATGAATCAGTACATTGCTGATGATAATTTTAAAGCTTTTAAAACCCTGTTGTTCTTTGGTGCCACAGAGATCCTGCAGATGTGTCTTCTGAGAGTGACAATGCGATGACCTCTAGCACTGTGAGCAAGCTCGCGGAAGCCAGGAGAACCACTTATCTCTCTGGACGGTGGGTGTGTGATGACCATAACGGGGACACCAGCATCGGCATCACAGGGCCTTGGATAACCCTTCCTAATAATGGAGATTATTCAGCTTATTACAACTGGGTGGAAGAGAAGAAAACTACACAAGGACCAGGTAAAGGAGCAAGCTCTCCATAGGCATCCGGGGTATCCAGAAGGTGTGTAACTTGTGGCCAGCAGAAGGCACAGGGGACTGGCAGCTCAATCCATATGTCCTCAGCTGGAGGAACCTGAGTTAGAAATAACGAAGTGCCAGGAAAGGGATCAGTCCCTTTAAAACCTTTTTTTTTGTAGAAAATGCTCATCGGAGCAATGTAACAGAGAAATAAAGTCAATTATTTACAGCTCTGACATGGTTCACATGCCATAGATTTAACAGGAGTTCCAAGAATTACTGTTTTCTCCTGCTTCTGACAGACTTAACTGTAAATGATTACTGGATTCAGGCAGTTCTCAATACTGACAAATTACATTTTCCAGAGTAGACTTCAGTAACACATTAACACACCCACTGAGGCTTCATATAAAATGAGACTTTCGTGATGCTTTTATTTCTTTTAGATATGGAACATAATAACCCTGCTTATACCATCAGTGCTGCATTGTGCTATGCAACTCAGCTCGTTAACACTTTGTCTCTCATACTTGATGTAAATCTTCCGAAGAAGCTCTGTAACAGGCAAGTAATTGCAAGCCTCTACGAAGATGAATCAGGGACCAGTTTTGACTGATCTTGATTTGGTTTTGTGAACGTGTCATTATTTGGAACCGCTTTTATGGTAATGGTTGTTGGCTCATGGCTTTCTGTGCTGCTTAACTTGGGGAGGGAGGGCTAGTAGAGTTTTAGATCACAGCTAATAGTCCCTCCCTCCTTTTTACCTCCCGAGAGCCTAGAGCAAGTGCCATCATTCAAAATGACAACTTATTATAGACATATCCAGCCTCCCCAAATTGGGAATGAAATATGACTGCATGAATAGCACTTTTCATTTTATGAGACCCTACCGTGCTTTACAAAATTCCAGCCCAGTTTGACAACTCTTAGTCATAATAGCTGCACTACATATATGATCTAATAGTAATCATTAAGAGCTGTAGAACAGGGCTTTATAATACGACAGCCATGTAATTTTCTTTGGGATAGAGGACCAATGGGAAACACAGCACTTGCCAGACGCCTGGGAGTGCATCATGCAGATGTGCAGAAACAGGGGTCTCAGTTCTGCTGCTGAGATTTTTGAAGTGTTCAAAGCAGTGGTTGCCTAAGCAAGGGCATAAAAGTTGTGTGGGATCACTGTAGATTTTTGAGTGTTCATTTTTTTGCAGAAGGAAAAGGTTTGGAGCAGGATATGAACTGAAATTTAAAAGGAGGGCCAAAATGGTTTGGCTGCAACAGACCTTTCTGAGTCTGCAAGCTGTGCACATCGCTGGCCCTGCTGACACTAATTGATACCAGGGCAAGCAGGGCCTGTTGAGGTGATGCTAACAATCTTGCAAGGTGGAAAGTGCTGATCTCCCAAGCACACTAAAACTGCTGTACTATTTAAACAAGTGTTTCCTGCAAGAATATTTATCGCTTATTATGTTGGGAAGCCAGTGCACAGAATGCTGATGGCTCCTGACAGTGAATTTTCATAGTGTTTTGCTCTGTGTGTGTGTGTATGTGCTCTTTCAACAGCGAGTTCTGCGGAGAGAATCTCAGCAGACACAGGTTCACGCGGGCAGTGAAGAAACTGAATGCTAATATCCTTCACCTTTGTTTCTCTCAGGTAGGATGAAGCACATTTGGATTCTTTAAATAACTTCTAAAATACCTGCTGTGACTGCAGGTTTCCTCCAGTAACTGAAGATGTCTTTTTCTTGTCTTCCCCTTGGTAGCATGTAAATTTAGATCTGTTGCACCCACTGCATACGCTCAGGAACCTCATGTACCTGGTCAGCCCAGACACGGAGAACTTGGGCAGGTAAGAAGAGCAGTATCGATGCGCCTGTGATTGAATTGCCTTTGGAATTATGCATTTGCCCTGTTATGTATGGGGGAAACTCTTCCCTTTTGCTGCTCCTGTGGATGAGTCCTCATCAGTAAAGCAGATATGGATGCAGTAAGTCAGGGGAGGGTGGAAAATAGAGGGGTTTTAGTATGAAATTAGGCTTCAACTATCCCTGGACACTGTACTCACACGTATGACAGGCTCAGCTGAAGAGTTTGGGACGAACTTTGCACTTGATGTTTGCTCTGTGCCCAGAAGCAGCTACTCCTTTCCTCTGGATGACAGCAGCACATGTCCCAGGCAGCCTCTCTGTGCCCCAGATGTGATTGTCACCTTGCCAATATATCGATATCTAAGAGCTCCAGTAGTATAAACCCTAACTCAAATACTGGATGAGGTTTTCTGGGAATACCTCCGATCAGTGAGCCCCACAGACAGAAGTCCAGTCTTCAAATAATACTAATTTTTATGTAAATTAAAAATAAAGACAACTTTTCTGTTAGTTTAGTAAGCAATGCAAATAATATCTGCTACTGCAGGCTGCATGCACCAAGTCTAATATTCTTTCTTTTTTCTACAACTTAAGTATAAAGAAGCTAACAGTATTGATCTCCTCTTGGCATAGTCCAGCCACCAGTCACATGTGGTGGCTTGGACAGTCTACAAATGTTAGTTTAGTCTGACAACTGCTTTATTTCCCCCTCGCACATGTTCTGACATTTGCTTTTTGACCTTGTTCAAATGTACAGTTCCTGCCTTTATTTAAAAGCCTGCAGTGCCACTAAGATGAACTGCCCTCAGGTCTCTCCGAACCTTTGTTGTGTTCTCTGCCTTTATCCCAGCTAGTTTGAACCAAAGGCAAGAGGAGACTTTAAAGCCCTCTAACATAGCTCAGCTTGGGAAGAGAAGTGCTTGCTGCTGCTCGTCTGAAAACAAGGGAATTGCAGGAATTCCTGGAGAACTGTGTTCAGGAAAGTAGTTACCGTAAAGGATCTAAGTGCCCCAGTGGACTCTCTTCTGTGTTTGGCTGTAACCAAGCTTCACATGCATCAAAAGGGTCCATCTAGCAAAAGAAGAAGTTACAAGAGAGTGTAAAACATCACTGTCGAAAATACCTGCCAGGGAGGGAAATAGTGTAGTCTTTTTCAAACACTTTTAGCTCCTTAGAGATGAGATTGAGACATGACTTGGTTTCCCCACCTTCATGGGGAGAAAATGCAGGCTACAGAGTGGCCTTAGTCTCGTGTAAGGACCACTGGAGGCGAAGAGCCTGAGCTGGATGGGAGTGAGGCCCGTGCTAGTGACACAGAGCCATTAGCTGCAAGAAAGAAGGTAGAGATGCTCCATTTCCTCATGTCTCCATCAAGGCTCAGTGAGGATCAGGAATGGGATTTCATCAGGCGGGATCTCATCAGGCAGAAGTTACTGGGCTCAGGACAAGGGGAACGGGGTGGAATTTAATGGCCCTCGTTACAAAGGAGGTCACAGCAGATGATCTCATGGTCCCTTCTGGCCTTAAGCCTGATGACTCGCTGCTGATGTTGCCTTGTTAAGCAAAAGGCTTTGCCAGCAGGCAGCACTCCCATTCCTTTCTGCATTAGGGAAGAGGAGTGTTTACCTTTAATTTCCCAACTGCCTGCAAAGTTTGCAGCAACCAGCTGCCTTCACTTCACTTTAGGTGTCTGGGTTTGTAGTTGCCTGATAGTTCCCTTTATTAGCTCCCCCTTTCAGATATATGGAGTATTGCCAAGCTCTTATTGTTTGGATTTAAATTTTCTGTCCTAAATGTCTACTTTGTCTCCTCCAAACTTTTTATCTATGGTACAATCTTGTTTCACTGAGGATCTGTAGGAGCTTTGTGGTTTGGAACGAGCTCAGCTTGCTCAGGAGAGGAACCTTTCACTGAAAATCTTTTCACTAAAACCTTTTCACTAAAAATCTGCCTTTCTCTGGCTGTGGGTCATGGACGGCTGTTTGCAGATGCTCAGTGAAGACTTCCTAGATTCCATCTCCATGTGAGGAAGAGCTTCTTTGCTGTGAGGGTGCCAGGGCCCTGGCACAGGCTGCCCAGAGAGGCTGTGGAGGCTCCTTCTCTGCAGATCTTCCAACCCACCTGGATGCCACCCTGTGCCCCTGCTCTGGGTGTCCCTGCTGGAGCAGGGGCTGGACTGGGTGATCCCTAGAGGTCCCTGCCACCCTCAGCCGTTGTGGCTTGTGCCCGCGAGGTCCCCGCGCTCAGCGGGGCTGCCGTGGCTCCTCCTGCCAGGCAGCGGCAGCAGAGACCTCGCGGGGCCTCCGGAGACGCCTCAGCCCAGCCCTGCTCCCGGTGGGACTCATCCAGGAGCAGGTGGAGCATCTCCAGCGCCTGGTGTCCGAGCACCCTCGCAGTGAACAGACGCTTCCCCTGGCAGCGCAGCCTTTGGAATGCCGGAGCCGTTCCCTGTCCCGGCGGGATTCCCGCCACTGCAGCCGGGAGT